TCCTAAGGATCTATGGTTAGGGAGCTTTCTACCCAAGGGCAATCTTTTCCTACTGTTAATTGAGAACACACATTTCTAACTGCTGTAGAAGGAAGTTCATACTTGGTTTGCCTTTCGTATTCGGCATTTTCTCTCATAAAAGCTGAAGAACGAGGTCTTGCCGTAGTTAAATTGGCAAGGACAAGCTAAAGTTGTTATCTGATATGGGAGATTATCTACAGTGGTTCTCGTGAAGATCCTTTGTGATTAATGATTGTCGAAAAGAATCTGCATCAGTTAAAGCTATATCATGGAGTTTAAATCTCATGACAGTAGCATGTTCAAATCATAGGTGTAAATCTCATGACAGTAGCTTGTTCAAGTCACAGGGAAAGAAGGTTACTTGCTGGTATTGCAAAAAACCTGGTCATACAAGAAAAAATTGTTATGCTTTGAAAAATGAGTAAACGGCCAATGGCAAAGACAGCCATGCCAAAGCAAGTACAGTTTTAGATGGTGAACATGGCGCAACTTTTAGTATTGCTTGCACAACACTGTCTAATAACAATATTTGGGTCTTGAACTCTGGTGCTTCATTTCATGTTTGCCCAGAAAGATCATACTTTTCATCATTCACAAATGTGGTTGGTGGCTTTGTCTATCTTGGTGACGATAGAGTTTGTAAAATTTTGGACATTGGAAACATTCACATAAAAATGTATGATTGTATTGTTCGTACATTTGAGAATGTGAAACAAGTGTCAGATTTGAAGAAGAGCTTGATTTCACTCCATTCTCTCGATATGGAAGGATACAAATTTACGGGGCAAGGTGGAGTGCTCAAAGTTTCAAAGGGGGTTCTAGTAATGATGTAGGGAGTCAGAGTTACAAACAAAAGCGTAAATTTGGTTATAGAAGAATGAGAAGTTGGACAAGGGGCACATGGTTTGACAATGGGAAGAACTTGATGGTACAAAGCAAGTTCTTGACAAGGATAATTGGCAAGAGTTAGATCTCTTACGAGAAGATGTGAAGTCGAAAGTTTCTCATGAATTTCTTTTGAACCAATGTTCAGAAATTGGTGAAGGAATGGCCGATATAATTGGTGTGTTGTATGCCACTCTAATATTGATTTTGATAATTGTTGTGATTTGTATGAAGTTTAGAATTTCACTTGTTGGTGTTTTTCTCGATTGGCTTGTATTTAGTCTAGAAGAAAATGTTGGAAGGAAGTACAATGGATACTTCAGAATTTAATAAGTATGACCATGGATTGCCAAGATTTCCAAGGTTTTGTGGGAGAGATTGATGCAAATGATCTCTATGACATGAGATCAACCACATGTTGTGCTTGTAGGTGTATAAGCAATGATTCATCTAAAGCATGTGTAAATGCAAGATGGCCCTAGGAGCTCGAGGATGCAAGTGTTAAAGAAGGTAGTGTTCTTATGAGAAATATAAGCACTAAGCACGATGAGCAACGTATGTTCATAGAGGTTGTTGAGCTAGAGAGTTTGCGACATTGTACAAGCTCTCTAGGTTCCACAAGACAAGAATATATGCATTGGTGGTTGTGTTAGAGGCTTGATGATTTGTCTTCAAGTGAAAGATTGTTATATGTATAAAGTTAAATCACACATGTCAGTTTTGAGATTCATTAGTTTTATATTTGTGTTGACTTTTCTTCTTTTATTCTAAGCCATTGGATTGGCTATTGATCCAAGGGCTAGGATGTATTGAGAGTATGTTTAAATGAGGCTTTCGTTTTATGTTTTAGACTGAGAAAAAGAAAGAGATGGAAGAAAAGGGTGAGAGCACATGGTGGGTGCTGCTCGCCCTGTTTTACCCACTTTGTAGGGAGAGAAAGTGAGAGTTTTGGGTCAAATTCACTTGGGGTTTTTAGACCCTGTTGCTGGCTTTGTTTAGAGAGAGAAAGTGTACGTTGTTGTATATTTGGACCCTATTCTTGGGGAGGTAAAGTTGTTGGAAATTAGAGCTTTAGGCCTTAGATATCTATTGTAATCTTCCCCAATTAGTAAGTAAAGCCTCATACCATTTTCTCATAGATGTAGGTCTCGATTTTGTGATCGAACCATGTTAAATTTTTGTTTTCTGTGAGTTGAATGTTATTGTATTTTTCATTTCATGTTCTTATTTTGATGTTCTATAGTTTTCATTGTTTGTTTATGTTAATTTGAATGTACAATAGCTATAAATGTGATAAACCCTTGCTGATTTTCACCAATTGATCCCAACACCAAAACGGTTGGCATCTAGTAGTTCTAGAATGCTTATTTGATAACTACTCTAGAAGTTATGGAAAATAGAGATTAGGCTTCATAGTGATCCAATAATGCTTCATATAGGTTAGGTTTCATTGGCTTTACGGAGTGAGACATAGGAGAGAGAAAGGGTATGGCTAGAGAGAGAAGATTTGGAGAGAGAAAGGGAAAATTAAAAAGAGAAATGACATGTTTAGAGATAGAAATAAAAATAACAACAAAAAAGATATGGTTAGAGTGAGAGGAGTCAAAGAGAAAATGAACAAGATTATATAGAGAACGTGGCATATTTCAAGGGAGAATAAATTTAGAGAGAGAAAGATCATGGTCAGATATAGAGGACTTAATAAAGAGAGAAAGGACACAATTAAAGATAAAAAAGTGCATTGTTGTGGACAAAAATTAGATAGAATGAATTGTTAGAAAAATAGAAATGGCATGAATTGAGATGGAAATGGAAAATTAGATAGAATGAATTGTTAGAAAAATAGAAATGGCATGAATTGAGATGGAAATGGGAAATGCAATGGTTAGGGAAAGTTAGAGAGAGACACGGCATGATCAAAGAGAAAAAGGTGTTTAGAAAGACATTTAGAAAGAAAGGAACTCGAAAAAGTACACAGTTACATTGAGCTAGAGAGAGAAAAGGTAGATGGGGATTTGAAGATAGAAAGGTAATGTTTTGAGAGAGAGAAAGAGAAAGAGAGAGGACACACGAAGTGGAGAAAAAGCGAGAGACGAGCTTTCTGAAAAAAGGGGCAAGAGAACTTCTAGGCTTCTATGGGGAATGAAGTTGCATGTTGTTATTTTTTAAAACTTGCAACATCTTAGTACGTATTTCTCCTTAACAAACACAAAAATAGTCAAGTACCTCTTGGGTTGTTAAATTTTTTTTAAGGCACATATTGAGTCTTTATTTTATTTTATTTTTTAATTTTTGCTATTAGTCTGTGGAAGTTATATCCTCAAAATTTGGGTTCAAAAAATAATAATAAGAAAGTAGGCTTTTATGGGAGGGATCAATTGAACAATATTAAGAAAGTAGGCTCTTATGGGAGCAGCAAATATTTTCACATCCATCGCTATGTCTTTTATACCGAATCCCAATAATTGTTTCGAAATCCCAAAATAGTGTTATTTTTCGCCAGATTTGACATTGACTTTTGGACCTCGTACATTATCAGAGCGCATCATCATATTGTCGGAGCCCACCATTACATTGCCAAAACGCATAAGTGCCGGACCTCTCTAAGACAACTACCGAATCGAAACTAAATAATGCCAGACCGCTCTAAGGCAATTAGCGAGCTAAAACTGAAGACTATCGGAGCCTGGAATCCAGTAACATCTATCGTCAGACCGGTCTTTGCAACTGCCGGACCACCTTGTGCAATTGCTAGACTGCTCTTTATATAATGCCGGAGCCCTACTGCCACACCGCACTTTATACAGTGTCAGAGCCCTACTGCTGGATCGTATTTTGCACAGTGTCAGAGCTTTACTGCCGGACAACACTTTACCCGAAAGCCTACTGCCGGACCGTACTTACACAGTGCCGGAGCCCCTATTTTGATGGGATGGAGGAGATAGTAAGTAAGATAAAAATAAAAGAGGGTAGGTTAAGTATTTTTTATTTTTATTTGGTTGGGGTTAATTACATAGAAAATATATTTTGAAAAGAAAAGTAAAAAAAATTTAGGTTGAAGGTAAGTTGCATAATAATAATAATAATAATAATAATAATAATAATAATAATAATAATAATAATAATAATAATAATAATAGTATAAAAAAAAAGAAAAAGGAGGTAGTTTAAAGTTTTGTTTTTAGTTGTTGTTATAATTTTCCCTTTTGTTTAAGGTTATGGCCTTATGGACATTAATTTGTGTGCTCGAGAAATTCCTCGTCACAAATATCAAAATAGAATATAAATAAATTATTGAACGGTTAAGATACTGTAGATACCATATAAAACTGTGGCGAGGTATAAATGGCAAGCGAGGGAAGTGGAAGTGCATCGAGACTGTGGCGAGGTGTAAATGGCGAGCGAGCGAGAATTACAAAAAAGAAAAAGGCCATTCGACTCCTGAAGGAGTAGAATGTTCATTTACACCCTCAGGTTACACCCACGGAGAATTGAGCTCAGGACTCCAAAGTTTGCTATGCAACCGCCTCAAGCTCGCCGTAAATTTTTTTTTGTGAATTATACCCTCCATGTACTTGAAAAAATTAATGTCAGGACCATTCAATTTTTAGATAGTGAGATTTAAGTATTAAAAAGTTTAAATTTTAATTTTTTTAAAATAATCATCTAGTAACTTTTAAGTAGTTCTCAAAACTTCCAAAAAAAATTCAATTTTTAAACTAAAGGTCAAGCAATAAACTATGCTCCTGAAAGAGCATAGTGCTAAATAAAATAAAATGATCTCATAGTGTACAATTCCATTATAGAATAATACAAGGTAAAAAGTGTCAATGCAGCAAGAAAGGGGCAGGTGAAAACTAGGTGAACGATGCTTTTTACTCTTGTCGCCTTATGCCGTGACATGACTGAACCTTGATATGAGTGAGAGTACATTTATTTCGATTTGAGTCTTTTTTTTATTATTAAATTTTATTTGAACTATTTAAGGTCGATTATATAAATAGTATTTTGTTATTGTAAATGCAAAAAAAGAAATATATTACACAAATTTTATAGTGTGAGAGAAAAATTCAGGTAGTTTTGTAGTGCGGTGAACTTTAGAGAGGAGGCTTGCTTTTACGTAGTCGACGTAGGCTTGTAACCGATTACGTGGCTCGGAGGCACGGAGAAAGAGGTTTATAGGCTCTGCGTCGCCTCCAACATTAGTATTCCGTGGCCATAAACGTTGCTCGCTCAGATAGAGAGTGAAAGTGAGGGGGAGAGAGAGATAGAGAGGATGTTCCCCCTTGCATCATTGCCGTTCAATTACGGCCGCATCTGCAGGAATTTCGAGAGAATTTGACGTTAAGTTATTGTGCTTATGTTGATCTATTTCTTCGAATTTACAGAGAGAAAATGCTTTTCAGGTGTTTCAGAGGGATTTCCTAGGTTTTTGTGCAGTGGAGTAACCATTTTGATTTATATATGCAGATATAGTGAGTGAAAGCGTTCGTCTGGGTCGTCTTTATAAAATTTAAATCATAGTTGCTTTTTCAGGTATTTTCCACGTTTTTGGTTGTTTATTAGTCTATTTATTTATTTATTTTTCTTTTTTTCTTGTCTTTATTTTGATATTAGATTTGAAGAGGATCCGTGTATCTTGTGCCTGATTTTGGGCGGAAATTGAGAGATTTAGCTGATAATATGGACAATTCAGAGATGTTTTGTTGGATTTGGCTAAAATAGTAGCTGACATTAAACTGTAAATAGTCAGGTTTCGTTGACCTCCACCCCTGTTTTTCTCTCTCTCTGTACTCTTTACTTTCTGCTTGGCTTGGTGGAAAACATCAATGCTTGGGCGAGAATTGACAGAATTGGAGTGGCTTCTTCCTGGATTTCTCACCTTAAAATGGAGTCATTTAGCTAGGAAAGTAGAGGTTTCTGGTGGGTTCTTCTGATTTTGGTATTGCATAGAGGTGTTTTTCTGTACAAAGGAAACAAATGAACGCAAGCTTTGTGTTATTTTCTTCTTTAGTTTTTACTTCAGTTCTACGACAAATGAAGAGGCTTTTTGTATTTGTGCTGGACTTGGTGAATAATGAAGATGTGTAACTATCTGCCTTCTTCGTTTGATTTGGACTGAGAAACAAAGAGATTACATGTAGTTTCTGCTAGGTTTTGCCAAAAATAGAAGTGTTCATTTTATTGAAATTTTTTGTGTTGAAATTTTATGTACATCTATCCTTTCATTAGTGAATATTTTATGTGGGTTTATCATTTTCTAGACTCTAAAGATTTTAGTACTTAAGATTTGACGGCCAAGGAGAGATTGAAGTAGATGTTACACGTAAAATTAGAACTGGTTGGGCAAAGTAGAGATATGCAATGTGAGTTTTATATGATTGCCGCATGTCAATAAGTTGAAGGGGAATGCGATCTAAACCTATTTTTGAGATTAGAGAGAGATAAACAACAAAAACTGAAAATTTGCCATTTCGATAAGATTGACAGATTTGTCAAAGTTTCATAAATTAATCCAAACTTCATCCTTTTAGTTTGGATTTACTTTTGGAGATTTTTTTAGCCTATTAGAGAGTTTTTAGGAGGCATTTGAGTTTGGGAAACATCTCAAAGGTGGAAGTTTGAATATCGAGCAATCAAGGTTAACGAAAAACTATGGAGTATGGAGTATGGACTAATGGCATGAACTATGAAGTGTATAGATTATAGGGCTGTACATTCAAAGCTTGTGGCTTTAGTTCACGAGCATGCCCATGCGGCTGTTTGTTTGTTAGTTAATAGACAACCCTTATGGACTATAGATGGACTATATGTTATGCATTCTTAATGTCTTATATGCCTCAATATGCATTTTTTAGTTTTTACACATAAGTTGGACTTAAAATAGTTGGATAGACACCTCCTAGTCCTTATTATTCTACCACTTGGGCAGCCGCTTAGGTACTCGCTTAGCCACTGCCCTGCCAAGACCCCCCTAGCACCTAGGTGCCGCTTGACCTTTTTTTGGAACGCTGCAAGTGATTCAAGTGGAAGTCTCAAAACGCACAAGGAGTAGGCCCAAAAGGACATGATTGGACATAATGAGAAAAGATATGGGGGCATATGGCCTCACTAAGGGTATGGCCCTTGATAGAGCAGAATGGCGGGCTAGGATTCAAGTACTTGATGATGATAGTTTATAACATAGAAATTCACTTTCTTTTTAAAAATGGAGATGATTCACATAATTCTATAGAGGTGAGAGAAAGATGGAGATGTTGGCTTTCAATCTCATATGCTTTCTCGTTGCCGCCCCTAATTCCAATACCAACCATAACTTGGAACTTGTTCCTCTTACCATTTAATTATTTCTTCTTACCACATTTTCTATTTTCTGTTATTCTCAAATCTAAGGCACAAGACCTACAAATTATATGGAGTTTGACTCATCATGATCATTTATCAAGGAATGACTCTGGTTCAAATGATTGAACAACCGCGATCAACTGGGATCAATTTACTTACTATACTTAGTTGACATCCATAAAAAAGTATCTAATGAATTATGAGTGCAATAGATCCTATTTAGCTGAAAGACGGATATTCCTTGCTCATTACTAGACAATCACTTATTCACAAACCTTGTTTGGGGCTAATAGTTATTATTTCTTATCTCGTGGAAGACCTTTTTTGCTCCGCTTAGACCTATCCCCTTCTAGGGATATTTTAGTGATAGGTTCTATAGGAACTAGATGATCCTATTTATTCTCTTTCTAGCCACACAATCACTGATACCTCAATTGTGATTCTTGATACATTAGTACAAATAGGTATAAATAGCCATATGAGACCATAAACCTCTTTTGATGATTCCAATTGGGAAAAGAAATTGATAGCTTGTACTTCTGTCATATCAATTATCATTTCGATGATCAACTTTTCCCATAATGTAGTGTCATCGTGATATCAATGAATTTCATTCTTTTAACTAGCTGAGGAAGAATTTGCAAATTGATAAGATTAGGTGGACGAATTCATTGCATTCAGTGCTGGTTATCTCTCTAACCTCCTGTTTCCCTCTAATCCAGCATTGAAGATTAGAAGGTGGTGTTTGAGCTAGTCTCTTGTTCCTTTTAGGCATTAGGTGACATAGTCATATATAGTACAATTTCTCCTTTGTGGACCTTAAGATCTTGTTCAGGCACCTTCTTTCCAATGTCTTTGTTGTCTTTCTATATTATATGCACATTTTGAGGAGTCTGTCTCATTCGTTTACCATTTCAGTTCATTAGATCAGAAACGAAAAAGTAGCACAACTACCAAACAAGCAGTGCCTAATTTAATGAAATGAGGGAACAATTTTTCCAAGAATACTGAAAAATAATCCAGTTTCCTTGTTGATTTTGATTGGTTTTCTGCAATAAAGCTGTTTCCGGTGAGGATATCGTATAAAAATCCTATATGACAAAATTCAAAGAAGAAAAGGTATTGCCTAGTTTAGCTGTTAGAAAATTGTGCCTATTCAGAGAAAACATCTTAAGAGTTATCTTAATTTGTATGATGATTATTGCAGGGATGATGTTCTCTTTCATTGAAAAATTGAAGTATACATATACACGGTCATGTTGGTTTTTATATTGTTTAAAATGACACCTAGAAACCTATCATCATGTGCGGGTTTGTTATTTATTCTTAGTTCTTTTTCTTCTATGTCTTATCTTGTAGGTTTCCAATTTAGTTGTCACACTTTTGATATGGAGTGCAATTCTAGTGTCTAGCAATTGAAACATGTAATAATTGTGGTTATGCTGATTAGGAATTTGTCTTTAGAGCTTATGTGAGTCCATGTGTCAGGCCACATGTCTTACATATCTTAGGGCGCTTGCATTTATAAGTCTGCGGAATTGGAGATTAATGGGGTTTGTTCCACAGTTTTCACATGGCATAAACAATCCTGGGAAGAAAATGCTTTAAAATCTTGCTACCTTTCATTTGTGCAATTGTTTTCTTTAGAAAGGGGCCTAGAACTTGGTCATACAACGTTGACTTATATACTGTTGTTGTGAACTGCATAGTTGAGGTAGGGGTAAAGGTTATATAACCTCAATAGATGTGGTTGCTTCCTGCACTTAATTTTTGTTTCCTTCTACGTGACTAGTGCTTTTTGCCTATCTAAATGCAGAAAGAAGTCAATAAGGAGCTTGTGAGTGGATAAGCAGTTAGAGAGAGAAATTATAAAGAACATTTGGGCTGACGATAATGCCAGACCATGTGGTACGAAGTTATCGTCCCAGCAATTCCCCAAAATATATGCTAGGTAGCGCAAAACCTGGTGAATCCATGCAACCATTGCAATCATCGTGGATTTCACATTGGACACATCCAAGCAATGATTCAGCTGCTCATGTTCTTAAGAGGTTCCTTGTTCATGGCGATAGGTCAAATGATGAAAAGAATATTCTCAGACAGGCTTATGAGTCTCATCATGTGGCAGAGCTGAGAAAAGCTATAGATTTGGACAAGGCACCAACTAGTAGCTGCAAAGATAACAAGAAAGGTATATCCGAGGGACAAAATGTGGTTGCCATGGCTTCCAGTTCCCTTCAATCTGGTACAAAACTGTTCCCTGAAGATGACAAAATCAGGATTGCAGATAACCACCAGGAGTTGTTGAAGGATGAAAAATATAATTTGAGTCCTTCTTTGAAAGCTAAAACAATATCCATTTCAGATAAATTCCATGATTTTTTAAATGAAGGCTCTAACAATTTGAGTCCTTCGTTGGAAGGTAAATCAAAACAACTGGATCTGTTACCTTTATGCAAACTAGGTGGGGCCTCTGGAGCATCATGGCCATTGCCTGTCCGATCTGTGCAGCCAACCCACCATGCTTCTTCAAGTTTGGTCCAACAACCTCTTCTAACTTCTCTCGAGAAAGGCATATGGAGCTCTGCAACTTCAAAGATTGATCGTATAGGCAAGCACACCCATGTAACTGAGCTGAATAAGGAACAGAAGTTTGGAACTGGTTCAGTAAGCGCCAGTACAAAGAAGCTAACCCAACCATCTGGAGAATCTTCTCTAAACAAAGCAGTTTCTCCTAAAAAAGCATTTGACTTTCGAGTGCTTGAAACCACTAATTGTCCTGAACAGAAACTGGGACCACATGACATCATGGAGTCTACAGACGATAATGTGGAATCAGCTTCTAGTTTAAGCTTTCATGGAGTGCGTGATACACTGGGTCATCATGGATCAAATATGAGGTTGGTTATGCAGGAAAGTCAAGAAAAAGAGTTCTCTAGCTCTAGAGTGATGGCACAGGAGGAGAGATTCGTGACAATGAATGTTTCTCAATTGGGACAGAAACACACTCATGGTAGTCACCTTTCATTTTCGGGTGCTGATAAGAATTCAGAGAAACAACCCATTTTGGGGAACTATGAGAGCCCATATTTAGCGCAAAGTGTTGCTATCTTACAGCAAGAATGTCATCTTCCACAAGAGGATTTCCACAACCCAAATCTCACTTTGGAAGGAAATAGGGGGCCACATGACTTTTCTGGTAAAGCAATGTTGCAGAGTCACATTAATACTACAGGGGAAACAAATTCAATGGAATTTAAGTCTAACCAGAAGTTTCCATATAGAATGCCGTCTTGCTCTATGCATGATGTAGAAACATATAGAATAAATGCAACTGTGAACTCCATAGAGGGTTTGCCTGGAGAACTTCCCAAATTCTCGAAGATGATCCATCATTTGCTTATAACAAAGGAGACTAATTTGACACTTTCCAAGCAAGAAATCACGTCTAGAGATTCAATGCTACCTGCAAAGGTTGAAGGAAGTTCATTTCAGAAACTGTTTAATCTAGCTCCTATGCTCAGTCTCTACAGTAAACAAGAAATCCTGGTTGAGCCTCCAATTAACTCATCCAGGTCTCAGTTTTCAGATCAGCCATTGCATAGTTTACCATGCAAAATTCAGGATGACAAGAGAGATGCATCCAGTTCAGTGAAAGTTCACAATAAAATCAGTTACATGGCTAATGATTCAAATGTGTGCTCTGAAAGGCCTCACGTGACATCAAAATTCAGTATAGAACTTGAAAGTGACAAGACAAATAGTTGTTTCGATGAGGAACAGGACTTTGAACGTCGTGTTATTAAGGCTGGTTCTCATGAGAGAGACATTCAGTGGTCTGCCAATTCTGATCTCAGGAAAAATGATGTTTTTCAGACTCATAACGTTCTCCATGGTATGTCTAAACCTCTTCCTATTGGTGAAACTAAAAGCAGAAAATTTAAGTCTTTAAGCACTACACATTACAATTTTTAGTTACCATGAAATTTTTTTTCGATACACATGTTTACTGTTCTAGAAATTCCTTTTATTGTGTGATGTTTATCTTGCGTATGCTAGATTGACTTAAGATCGTTTTGGTACGTGTCTCGCAGGAAAGGCTTCAGTGGTGGACAAGGTACGTTCAAGTTCTTTTAACATTATTTTGTGGTCCCCATTAGCATGATATTTGTCTCATAACAAATGGCTCTGAAAAAGTGCCCAAATATTGGGAATCCTTGATAAGTTAATTCAGATTCATACTATAATCTAAATACTAGAAATGGATGACCAAACTGGTTTATTGTGATTCAAATGCATCTATGTTTTTGTACTTTACATTTCATGAGTTTTCATACTGAAAATATCTACCTTTCAGCAAAAAGTAGTTTCATAGAAATTCATACGTTTGCATCTGTGGATTCTATAATTGCAACTTTATGCCCATTATTCTATTGTGTAATTTTCTGTCATATATGGCATTCAAGTATTCAACATAATATCAATGCTGTCTTTACTTAACTGAAGGTTTTGACTTTGATATTATTCATCATTACCTCCGTAATTTGTTCAAATTTAAAACTTTATACTTTTTCAGATATTATCCAAATCCAAATGCATTTACTGAACCTTACCATAATATATATTTCAAGACTGACCTAGGTTTAAGACAATTATTGTTTTTGTCATACGATAAAACCCTTCTCTGTCTTGTCTTGTCCTCCTTTTTTTCTTTTCTTTGGAGACTGTGCTTTAGGTTATTCAAGCGCTTTCAACATTTTATTTATTAGGAAATTTCAATATTTTACTATTTTAATTTTGTTTCTATGGTTAATTGAAATGCATTGGCCTTCCGTGTCTCTGATTATACCTCAGACTTGCAGGATTCGACCAGTGCTGATATGAAGAGTCTAGGCAAGTCTCAGGAAACTGGGGCTTCATTGAGTCGTGAGGTAGAAACGGAAATGCATGATACCCTGATACCCAACAAACCACAAAATAAAATAACAGCTGCCAAACTTTGTTCGGTAGCTGGGGTCTCACTGCACGGTAGAGAGTTAAGCACACCAAGAACCCAGAGCTTGGAGGCTGACCATCTTCTCTCTGGTTATCACGAGGCAGAAACTTCGCATTCCCCCTTCCAACAAGAGGGTGATGTCTCCTTGAATCTGAGCAATAGATGGGTGAAGCGACTCAGATTAAGTACATCGGAATCACTTAATATGAACAGTTCTGAAGTAGGAAAGATGCCCCCAAAACATGAATCCATCAAACTGTTTAGCAAAGTACTGAATTACCAAAGAGGGAGTTCTGGGGCCATATCAAAAGGGAAGAGGCCCCGAAATCTCATAGAAAACCCTGATACTTCCAGTAATCACTTGGTCATACTTGGACACGGTGGTACTTTTGCAAAACTTTTAAATGAAAAAACAGAATCAATCTTTTCAGACCCTTGGATTCAAAGATGGAGGGCTCCATCAAGGGAAATACATCCAGTTTTGGACCCTGAGCAAGTCACTTGTGAGCCTGAGAGGGTCCCAGAGCGGAAAGATTTTCAGAAACAGTTTCCAAGTGTAGCAGCAATGGCACTTATGGGGAAGGCCATAAGCAATTTTAGGCCATCTGAGTTTAAGAAGAAGGGGTCTTTAATAATTTGGAGTGCTTAAGAGTCGTGATGGAAGTGAAGTTTAGAAGGATTCTAAGTTAAATTTCTGAACTGACTCTAACACACTGTTATGACTGCATGGGGCCCCATTTCATTTTCTGGCATCTATGGTTTCTCAGTTAGTCGTGCAGTTTTTGTGCTGAAGTTAATATTTTGTGGATGGACTTCTGAAGGCACAGAGGAAACCAGAAGCATGACAGGCCTTTCTTCTTGCTCTCTTGGGAGCAAAATTTTCTTCTTGGCAGCTAACATGGTGGGGATTTTCAGTTCCTCCATGAGCAACAAGCTTAAATCTTGAATAGGTAAAACCTTTGCACCGGTAAGCTGATATATCGTAATGACTTCCAAGTTTCAACTTTTAAAGTGTGTTTGTGGAGAAAGGGATAGCCTTCTTTTGAAAATTTATCTCATTTAGAGGTAAAATGGTAAATACCCAATACACCATCTCTTGCAGAGTGGCATTTCCATTTTGAACTGAAATTTCTTGTTTCTAATATGTTATTTAAAGATATGTATCCGACCGTGAATATAAAAAGGAAAGTTTATCAAATTAGACATAAGATTTGAATCATTTAACAATTTACCCTTTTTTTGGGGAATGTAGCATCTTACCCAATTGTTTGATCTAATTTCAAATAGCCCATTATTCTTTTCATCAAATTTCAAGTAGCCCATCAATCGGCACATCAAAATGGATTTTAAAATATATCAAATTGCATCCATGCTAAATTGTTAAATAGTTCAATTTTTATGACAATTTTGATAAATTTCCCATAGAAAAATGACACACTGATGATTGTAGGGGATATTAACAAAAACTGTAACTGGAATGATTATGAACATGCTAAATTGGGTTAAGACTTGTCTCTTTGAGGGTAACATTGTCATTTCATTGGAGGTCATTGTTCCCTGCAATTTATAAAGATCTCCAGCAAGCCTTACACCTCTAATGAGAAACTACCATCCGAAAACAAGAACTTCTAGCCATTATATCCTCAACCCCTAAGCATTATGGACTTGACTCAATCTTGGCTGGACCATACTCAAAACCTCCTATGACCATACTCTTAAGCTTTGACCAAGGACACTACCGGTTTTAAGGAATGTGTTGAGAAGTAAAACTTGTTTTGATATGCATCTGTTGCAATTCTTTATTTATTTATTTTTTGATTCTTTCCCCCTTTGGATTCACCTAAGATCACATTTATCATCTTTAAGAATTAAAATTCCATTAAATAATTGAAATTCCATTAAATAATTGATTGCAAAATTCAACATTTTGTGACGAAATATTTGATTGCATTTTGAGCCTCATCAGCCCTCTTACATTTTCTAGTATATTAGTATCCACATTCCTAATATAGCTTTTGTCTTTCCTTGCTGGATTTGTTTTCTGGTGTCATGCAACACCAGTTGAAGTGACTGCTTCTAAGGAGTCGTGTATTTCTGTCATTTCTTTTAATTTGGAATGTTTTTCTGTTTCATTGACATTTTATGTCCCATTTGTTGACTTAATATGTTGGTTTTAATCTCCACATGCCTCATCTTGGGCAGCTTAATAATACCTTCCAAGGTTGCACATGTGCATGTGTGTGAGTGTGCCCATATGTGTGCGGATATCATTTTCATTTAGGTGGGTAGATCAAAACATGAAAGGTTTGCTATATTGTGGGGTAGATCAAAACATAAAGCTTTAGCATGCATAGACCTTTGAAACAAGGCATTGAGGAAGAAAAGATTGAAACTGACCTGGCTACTTTAGCAAGGAGTACTTTTTTCCATATAGACGCGAGACAATTTTCTAGTTAATTTCAATTTCTTTTTCTCAATCAAATTTTCTACTAGTTAATGTTTGATTTTATAAAATCATAGTGGATAGATATAGCTCATGTGTGAAATGTCGTAGACTGGTAGCTCATGTCTATAGAAGGAGATTGTAATCATGTTTTAGAATATGTTTAGACTTTTGACATTGATCTTCAACTTTTTTCATAATTTGAGGGTGTTGCAGTATGAAACGCGTTACATATTTGAGCTATGCTATGACATAACATTCTTGAAGCATCTCAAAAGTGTTTCTATTTTGTAATTGTAGTTGCCTTTAGAATTCCTGCAATTACTCTCAGATTGTGTGATATATATGCTCCTACCATGATGAAATCATATCTTTGGGGTTTTTTAGTGCAGTGCTAGATATGATTCTCAATAGTTTTTTTTAACTTCAATGGGAACTCAAAATCTTGATGTAGGTGTATATCATATTTAGTATGAATCCCTGTGGCGAGGTCTTCACGACCATACTTGTCCATAATTATCAAGACTGGACAATACCACCTGGTCTGCCCGCTTAGGCAGATCGGGATACCTGCGCCCTCTGCTCTTCTGCAAGTCGAATAGGTGATTCCCAAAAAATGGTCCAAAAATTGGGAATCACCCGATTTTTTGAAAAAAGTCGCCTGGTCCACTACAGTGAACTGCGCTATTTAGTGCAAACCAGGGCTAGTCACTGGTTCAGACCATCCATAACTGGTGATCCCTTGGTTCCCAGGCGGAATGGGCGATTCCTATCCCACTCAACGATCCAACACTGAAAAGAAAAACTTTATTTGGCTTGACTTGGAAGTTTTGGAACTGCTATCATCAAATCATTTAAAGATGATGATTCTGATATGAACTGGATCATATCTTCTCTAATTATCAAGGAAAACATGTTTCCCATCACATGTGTGTGTGTGTGCCGGGGGGGGGGGGAGGAGAGAGAGATCAAACAAATCTTGTTCCTTGTCTTCTGTTAGATCCAACAAATCATGTTCCTCATCTTGTTTGTTTACAAATAATGTTCTTCATTATGTGTTTGTGGAGAGAGAGAGATCTTCTTTTGCCACTAATGTGTTGCATGGAAACATGAGAACCTGTCACATTCATAGATCTTGGCATCAATGTATCGGGAAGAAAGTTAATTCCTTTAATGCCAGTGGAATGTCAAATGGCTATATGTGAACATTATTGATCTTGTACGTACTACTTTGTTTTAATAGTGATGTATGCATTTTTTTTTTTCAGATTCCCAGGTGAAGAAAACTCTTTGCTTTGTCCAAAATATACAATGTGGAGAAAAGGTGAGGTTTGATGTAAACGAGGGACGTTTTTCTTAACGTATTGCATATTAGTGTTCTATTTTTCTCATTTTTCTGTATACCCAGAAACTCTATTTGAGTTTGCTATCAGCTGAAAATGTGTGAGCCCCACGGGAACGTCCATTTTGACCCTGTTTAGTCTGGAAAGCCCAGAGGATTGAAAGAGAAACAAACACCACAATAATGCTTCAGCTTGCCACCCCCTCTGGACAGCGTACCATGTTTTGTCACTCTATCCTGTTATCCTCTCTCACGCACATTCTCTCCCTCTTTTGTCACTCAATCGTGTCATTCTCTCTCCCGCACATTCTCTCCCTGTTTTGCCGCTCGAATTTTTTTTTTTTTAAAATGGGTCAAAAAACCCAAAAAAAAATATTAAAAAAATGTGGAAAAATATAGATTTTATGAATATTTTATTATTATCTACAATTATCTTAAAAACAAAAATTACAACAATTTTTTATATAAACTAATATATGAAAATTAGAAAGATATACAACACAATTAAGAATTTGACATACATTTATTTAATGGAGGGAGTTACAACGTGCAACTAATACTGGTTAGTGGTAATGAGAGTGACGAGGGGGTAATGTACTTGTCAATCAAGAATATTTCTCGTAGTACCCCTTTGGCCAAAGTCTCTTAAACTCATCCAGCTTTCATGCTCTCCTCCACCTTAGTCTGTGTTATGGCCTTCAGAGCTTGGTGGCTATGGCTCTGTCTCTCCCTTCTTGAGTAGCTATTAGGCCTAGATGTTTGGACTTCCACCAGAACCAATCCCAATGCATTATCTACCTCTATATTAGGCAATCTATCATGTTGTACACCTTCACAATCTTAAACCTATTTCGCCTAGGGTTTTATATCCACTAGAATGTATTCCAGTTTTTTTCACACCCCGAGAAAATACAAGTTTGGCTTAGTACTCTCTGACTGCAATCTTTTGTAATTGGTTCGCTCGAATTATGTGTAATGTTTATCATTGTGCTAACATAGACATACATACAACAATTGAAAAATAATGAAGTTAAAAAATCCACAAACAGTAGTGTACTAAATTATTATAAGTAACTTGAATGTAATTTTGTAGCTGTTTTTTTTAGCATTGTTGCATGAAAATTCACCACCTTTTTTCATGTACATAATAAGTTACAACGAACAAGAGGCGTATATAAAAAATTAGTACAACGTAGTAATGCGATTCTTTATTTTGGATTAAAATTTTTATTACAAACACATATTGCTAAAGGTTTAATTATGTCATATAGTTCATCTGAGTATCATGGTTAGGCTCAAGTTTGTAGACGCAGTTCTTGACCCCTCCATTATATTTGAATCATTGAAGGTGGCATTGGAGAATAATTTTGTGGGTTAAACAAAAAACCTGCACATGATTTATTACAATAGTAATTATGGAAAATTTACTCAAAATTGAGATAAAAAATAAATTGCGACGATGAATTATAAATTACTTGCCCATGATACAATTGATGTCTCTACGTACGATTAATGATTGCCAAAATCGTTAGTTCAAATGTTATTTTGAAATATGGTTTTCTTTGCACGTGACATTGCGTCGAACATGAAACCCATTGTTGGCTTCTCATGATAGTCAACTACTTTCAACACTTACATTAGAGGTTCAGTTATAGAAACAAAATGGTTGCATTAAGCTTAGATTCACCGGTCGATAAATTGTTGGTTCGTATCATTGACTTCAATCTTACCTTGTTGTGTAACATTGATTGTATAGTAAGGAACGTCGTGGCGAAATTAGTAGTGGACTCTTTGACAATCTCTTGCTTACAATGTTCCTTCATTAAAGCGTGAAGGTACGTGTGGTTGTATAAAATCTTGTAATTATTTTGTACTTCAAAATACAATTTTGGCCTTCTTCAGCTTTCATATCTCGTTAAGCATCGAATTAATCCAGTGGATATGTAATCTAAAAAAAATTGGGTCTTTTCTACATCAGCAATTTCTCTACTTTTTGGTAATTTACAACATTGTCAATCATTACTTGGACCACTTTTTCAAGCCCGACTTCATTTACAATCTTGGTCATGGGCGTACATAACAGTTTTGCATTTTTTATTTATTTATTGGATAAGTCAATGTTAGAGTGGTAAACAATACCTTGAGGGAAACTTATTAGGAAATTGACAAGATGGTTGTGAGCTTTATCCTTTCAACCATCTGTCATGATGGATCCAATACTTTGCTAGCAAAGCTTGAACTGTGCAATATGCCTATCTACAACATCATTCACAAGGTTCTTTGTAGTTAGAGCATTGAAACGCGGCCTTGTATCAGTTGTAGATGATACCATATGTGGATAGTAGTTTGGATTTGCAGAATTAAATGGCACGGCCTTAATATACCAAAACATGTTAATTATCTTTTGAGTCCTTTTTATAAATTTCCCTTCAAATGGAATTTTTAATTTTTGATGATGGTATTCTGGCATGTGGGGGTTAAGTCTAGAGAATGCGCAAGGCAATGAGTGTACGTCGGTGAGTAATCAATGTCCGACTAAAGAAATCACGTCTTAAGTCTACTAAATGTAGACCTAAACAATGAAGGCAAGCATCCTCCCATACTCGGCACCACGGGTTGTTGAGGGTGGTAGCTAGAGGATGCACCAGCACTCTAGCATGCATCTCTTGAATTTTCATATGTCGATAGTTCATTTTTTGGAGACTGGTAATTTTAGTCCGTTCTATATATATCTTAAACTTTGTTTCTTTGTCCTCCTCATCTATGGGACTTTCATACCCTCCTTACCTCAATCGCATCCATTTGTTTTTGTACCTTTTTGTCTTTTTGTATATGCAAGTAATCTTAACATTTGTTCTTTTACTAGCGTTGCACTAAGTCACAAGAAGGTGTTATTTTAAGCGATAAATATTCACTGCTACTTATTTATTTATTACAAATATTACATTTAACATTTCCTTTGTCATTCACTCTTACGCCAATTGATGCTAAATCAATTGATGCTACATCTTCCCTCCACATCATTTAATTTTCTTGATTTTTTTTGTAAAAGTAAAATTTTGTTAAAACTTATTGAAAAATTAAATATCCTAAAAAAAGTTATAATTTTATACCATTGACAAAATTATTATAATTGCATAAAAAAAACTTTCAATAATTAATATTTTAACCATGATAATTTGTTTAAAATTTTTTGAAGCTCATTGGGTGTTTTTTAAAAGCAACAATTTTAAAAAAATTGGGTGTCCAACCTGGGGATATTACAAAAATTAAAAAATAAAATAAAATAAAAAATAAAAAATTTATATGGGATATGTTTTTTTAATGTTTTCTATAATTTTGAAAAATATTGGGGAGTGGTTTGGCTATAAATACTTCTCACATTTTTCTCATATTTTCTGGATTGTGCTCTTTTAGGCGATAAATATCGACTGCTACTCATTTCTTTGTTTTCTCATCAATATCGTTGAGGCCTCCCTTGCTCTTGCTGTGACTCTCATTTGATGAAAAACCAGAGGACCCAAAGCTATGGGTTAGAGAGAATTGGGTTTCGTAGAGAGAGAGGAGGAAGATGAGGAAGCTCTATCAGAGAAGAGCCCCATGGACTTGGACTGTAACCTAATGTTAAGGGAGTTATTAATGTACTTGGTCATCATGCCTTCGTTTTCTAGGTGACAAATGGTGTTCGGAACTGTTGCAGGGTCATCTTTGTAGCCTATGAGAGCTATTTTTAGAGAGAGAGAGGGAGTGGATATGGAATGAAGAGGAAGCTGAGAGGTTACAGTACATGGGGAGGGGGATGGAGACTTGAAAATCGAAAGAGCAAAATAATTTTGCAGAAACCCACACGTAAAGAGAGAGAGAGTCCTTTTCCCACAGAGGTAACCGTTAGTTTCAAGTCCAACAGAGGGACGAATTCGGTTTTTGAAAAATCAAATTTGCGTTCATTTTGGTTTTTTAAAAACTGAAAATGGTGGGTTGTGTATTTTTTAGAAAAAAGTGTTATGAAGTTCAACAAACGGATATACGTGTAATAATCCGAGCTTAAAGATATTTTTGTAAAAATTGTAAATATAACAATATTTAAAAACAATGATTTTCAAATATAAATTAATTTCAACGTTAATAAATGAATTCAAAGTTAAAAATATAAATTAAGATTCATAATTGGCCACTGTTACAATTAATAAATAAAATTAAATTAAAATAAAAAGTTTCATTAATAAATTTCTGTTTTATAAAAATTATACAAAAGATAACACATTTTCATTTATTTAATTGGCACTTTGGCGATCGCATAAATAGGTGTTTATGTCTACCTAACTTTACAATATATGTATAAGACTTAATAATCCAAAAAATGTTGAGGTTTGTGATAGCTTTGAAATATATTTTTATCTTTATTGATAATTTTTAAAGTTTAAAAAATAATGTAGTTCAATAAATCTATGAAAACTTGAAAATCTTTAAAACTAACGGTCAAAAAATGCGTTAGAAAATACACCATTTTCAAAACTTGAAATCCATTTTTTTCTTATGTCCATGTATCTTAATGTTGAGATGATCAATTTGAAGATATTTAGGCATCAAAACAACCTCTTCTAAAATCTTTGAGGTAGGCTCTAATTTGATTTTTTAGAGCCGCGGCTCTATATAAACAATTCCCTTGAAATAATAATAATATCGTTACAAAATATCAATAGGATATGTATTTTCTTATGTACCTGATCCCTCGATTCAAAGTCCTGTATACAATTATAAAAAAACTAAAATTTCAATTCTTTTATTTATAATATCCATTAGATGATAGACTCTTAAATTTTAGAACTATGAAATGCTATTACGTAAGGGCCCGTTTGGTTCCCT